GACCTGAGCCAAAGGCAGATGCCCAACGACTGAGCCCCCCAGGCGCCCCGGATTACTGGATTCTTAAAGCAGTTTTTACCTTGATCTTGATAGTATACTGCATCTAGTTAGGAAATGAATTTTTTTAAAGATTTATTTATTTTTAGGGAGAGAGAGGGAGAGAGAGGGAGCGCAAGGAGGAGGGGCAGAGAGAGAGGGAGAAAGAAACCCAAGCAGACTCCATGCTGAGCGCGGAGCCCGATGTGGGGCTCGATCTCACGACCCTGAGACCACGACCTGAGCCGAAACCAATAGACGCTTAACCGTCTGTGCCACCCAGGTGCCCCTAGGAATTTAATTTTGCTAATCTTACTGTGTTTCCTTTAAAATTGCTTTTAGACAGTTGATGTGTTAGCATGGTAGGTTTATAGGCAAATGTCATGGTGTTTATACATTTAAAATGTGGGAAATTGTCTTTTATCTATACCAGGGTTTCTCAACGGTGGCACCACTGCCATTTGGTGCAGGCTAATTCTTTGCTATGGGGGGGGGAAAGCTGTCCTGGGCACCGAGGCATGTTCAGTAGCATCCTTGGCATCTGCCTACCACATGCCAGTGGCTGCGCCCTCCTAAGCTGTGACAGTCAAGCACAGTCCCAGGATTGGGGCTGGGGGCAGGGAGAGCAAAATCACCGAGGTTGAGAGTCGCTGACCTGTGCCATCTGATAACCTTCCCTTTTTTTTTTTTTTTACACATTTGAACATGCTCATGTCTTATTACCTAAGTGTTTTGCTATATGTTTGCTAGAGCAATACCTTTTTACAATTTCCGAACCTTAGAAAATTGCTCCTGAAACTCATCGTTCAAAAGAAGTGCCCCTGAATGAGAGGATTTGTCTGCAAGTGGGGTCCCAGTGCAGCACCAATGAAAGTGACAATCCTAGCATTTTGGTGGAGAAGTGCACCCCGCCCCCGGAAGGTAACCAGCGAAAGCACTGTTTGTTGGTACATGGGGGAGAAAGGCAAATTATCCATATGTTTATGTTCAGTGTTCGTTAATTCATTCAGTTTTCAAATATTTGCTGAGTCTGATAAGTTCCAGGCACGTGTACTAGGTGATAAATACGAGGACGTCCCTGCCTTCGAGGTGCTCACGACTTGACTAACTGTGCCTCAGAGTTCTATAGCATTTAATCACTCGGCATGTGATGTACACAGATAGACATCCTCCCCTAAATTGAGCCTCAGAAGCTTATCTTGCGAAGCGAGCAAGGCATGGATTATTAGCCCGCTCCATTTTATGAGCAAGAAGGGAACTGAGTGGGTTGCTCTAGGTCTTCAGATTACAGGTCCAGTGCCTTAAGAAAACCCCCCAATACTGTCTTCCTCATTCGATAGAAAGATTAGCTTGATAGACAAGATGTATTGGGGGAAAGATGTTAGAAAAGGAAAACGGGCCTGCTGGCCTAGCTCCAGTTCAGGACGAGCCCTAGGAAAAGTGGCCACGTGGGCAGGTTGGGCCTTGGCCCCCAGGCCCCTTCCTGCCCATCACCCAGGTCCTGCTGGCTCTTGGGCTGCGTGCAGGGAGGAGCTTATCCTGATGAAGGGCAGGGCTCCTGGAGCCTGGATGTCCACGCTTAAGTCGCAGTGCTGCCAGGGAACAGCTGCGTGACCTTGAGCAGACGACTTAGCCCCTCCCTACTTCACTTTGCTCAGCTGTAAAATGGGCTTGATGATAGCACCTGCCTCCCAGGACTGTCGAAAGGGTTACGGAAGTCAGTCTAGGCGAGGGGCTTAGAACAGCGCCCGGCAACGCGTAAAGGCTGGATGCGTATCATCTAGTAATCCCATGTTGCCCCTTGTTTGGAGGGTCCCATCTCTCCCACTTCCAAACCTTAGCACTATGTGGCCCGTTCTCCAGGCCTTTCCCTCTACCTGCCTTGCACAGATCAGAAGTATATGAAGTCCCATTTGTAAAACTATAAAATTCAGTACTGCCACAAGGCTGGGAGCCTGGTTTGAAACAACTTACCGCCCCATTCTCATTTCTTTAGAAGTTTAATAAATAATACGAAAAAGCCTAAATTGTACTATGACATTAAAATGGTTGATGATGCCCCTGGATAATACTCCTTCAAGAATCCGGACATGATGCCTTAACTCAAAAGGCTATATTATAAAGGTAGGGAGTTCAGATGATAAAGATTATATGGCTCCTAAAGTCTTAACACACAGTAAACAACTACCAAGAGTTATATTAATGCTGACTTTCCCCCAAGCTGCTTCAGGAAGAATGTTTGTTTCGTCTTTAAAAAAACAACATGTGTTAGTATTGGTCAAAAGACAGGAAGGTAAATTTTAACTCAATAGACTTGTTTTCTTTAAAGACAGGTAGATATATGGGTTGTTTGTGTTTTCACACTCCTTTAGGAATGCCATACTCATTTCCTACCACTGAAATATTATTTGACCATGAAACACTCTCTCCAGTTAGGAATACAAAGTTAGGGTCCCTCAGTGATAGTAAAGATATTTTCTTGGGATCTGGAGGTGAGAGAGAAAGTTGTAACAAGTTAGATTTGGGTTTTCTCCATCCTGGGTGCCTTCTGGGTAAAATGGTATGAGAAATTAGGAATTGGCTTTCTGGTAAAACACTCTCACCATCCCTCATGCCCCAGAGGGTTTGGCGGGTTTGGCTCACAGGGAAAGAAGCATCCTAAACCCTTGGCTGGGTCTTCTAGGTGATCCCGAGTCTGCTGTGACTGAACTACAATGCGTTTGGCACAACCTGAGCTACATGAAGTGTACTTGGCTCCCTGGAAGGAATACAAGTCCAGACACCAACTATACTCTCTACTATTGGTGAGTGTGTATGGGAGACGTGTGGGGGAAGGACTGATTGTGATTGTTTGGGGAGCGTTGGGATCTAACCTACTTAAAAACCAAAACCGAAAAAAGAACATCCTGGTTTTGGGGGCTTTGTTTATCATTACTTTTTTAAGATTTTATTTATTTATTTTGAGACAGAGAGCATGAGCACGGGGAGGGGGGTACAGAGGGAGAGAGAAAGTCTCCAGGAGACTCCCTGCTGAGCATGGAGCCCGACGCAGTGCTCGATCTCACCACCCCGAGATTGTGACCTGAGCAGAAACCAAGAGTCGGATGCTTAACCGACGGAGCCACCCAGGCATCCCCTAATTATCATTATTTTTAATTGAAGTATAAATTAATACACAATGTTATATTAGTTTCAGGTGTATGACATAGTAATTCAACAATTCTGTACATGACTCAGTGCTCACCTCGGTAAGTGCAGCTGTCACCTGTCACCATACCATGTTATTGCAGTATTACTGACTATATTGCCTATGCTGTGCTTTGCATCTCCCTGACTTATTTATTTTTTATTTAACTTATTTTTATTTAACTTATTTAACTGGAAGTGTGTGCCTTTTAATCCCCTTTGTCTGTTTCACCCACCCTCCACCCACCTCCCCTCTGGCAACCACCAGTTTGTTCTCTGTATTTAAGAGTCTGTTTGTTTTGTTTTTTAGATTCTACATAGAAGTGAAATCATATGGTATTTGTCTGACTTCTTTCACTTACCATAATACCCTCTAGGTCCATCCATGTTGTTGCAAATGGCAAGATCTCATTTTTTTTTTTAACGGTAGTATTCCATTGTGTATATATACCACATATTCTTTTTACAAATCCAAGAAGATGGGCAGTTTGATTCAGTGGAAGGTGCATCTGCTTTTGGTGTCTACTTTCTTTAAAAAGTAACTGTAGATCCACAGGATGTTGCAAAAACTGTACAGGGAGATCCCAGGGCACCCTTCATGCAGCTTCTCCCAAAGGTAACATGGTCTGTAACTAGAAAGCAGTATCAAAACCAGAAAGTTGCTGTGGTTACAATCCACCCACCTTATTCAAATTTCACCAGTGTCACATGCACTTGGGGGGGTGTGTGTGTGTGTGTGTGTGTGTGTGTGTGTGAGTTCTATGTAATTTTATCACACGTGTAAATATAGAACAGTTCCATTACCACAAGGATCCCCTGAGTTGCTATTTTATGCCCATACCCTCTTCCCTTCTGCACCTCCCCCCGCCTTTCCCTCCCCCAAGTCTCTAGCCTCTGGCAATTACTAAACTCTTCTCCATCTCTATATTTTTGTCATTTCAAGAATGTTACTAGAATAGACATAGCATATAACTGTTTGAGGCTGACTTTTTAAAAAAAAAAAAAAACACTCTGCATAATACCCTTGAGGTCCCTCCAAGTTGTGTGTATCAGTAGTTCATTTTTTCTTTTTTTATTCCATGGTGTGGATGTGCCAGTTTGTTTAAACATTTATTCATTGAAGGATATCTTGGTTCTTTCTAATTGTTTGCAGCTATGAGTAAAGCTGCTATAAATACTTACGTTCAGGTTTTTATGTGAGCATAACTTTTCATATCTCTGGAAGAAATGCCCAAGAGTGCAATTGCTGGGTCATATGGTAATTGCATATTTTGTGTTATAGCAAACTGCCAAACTATTTTCTAGGGTGGCTGTATCATTTTACATTCCCACCAGCAACGTATGAGTGATTGGTATCTACCTTTAAAAAGGAAAACGATATCATGCCCAGTGATAAAAAGTAAGTTGACTCAACACCTGAAACTAATGTAACATTGTATGTCAACTCTACATCAATTAAAAAAAAAATTAAGGAACTGATGAGAAAACAACTATTAAAAAAAAAAGTAGATTAGCTCCCCACAAAATAACATACCTGAGATTTGTGAGCACATCCACAAAATGTGTTAAATTTCTAAATTGATCTTTAAGCATTTCCTTTCTTTTAGAGCCTAGAATTATTAGCAGCGGAACAAGGAAGAAAGGACCAGGTTAATCAGTTCAATTCAGTAAGACTTTATTTGGCACACATTGTGGGTAAAGCACTGAATAGGCAGCAGAGATAAGAAACATGGCTCTTTGTTCATAAGTTTAAAATGTAGAGGGGGAGAGACAGCCCCCAGCCCAATTACCTGTGTAAAAATAACAGTGTATGATGAAGGCTAGCAGAGACACAAATGCTCTTTAGAAGCTAGGGTGGAGCTTGGGGGAGGTGGCAGGGCAAGGCTGGGGGGCTGGGATGAAGGGGTTGGACTGCACCCATGGGGGGTTTCTCTGAGCATGGGCGCTGGGGAAGAGCAGGGAGGAAGAAGGGCCATGTTCCGTCTGTGTGATACCGGGCTGGGGAAGAGGGAGAACTCGCGTCGGCAGTGTGCTCTCCCCATGGCCTTGTCCCTCCTTCTGTGCTTCATTCAGACTGTTTCTGAGAGAATGGGGTGCGGGGGGCCACGTCCAGGTCTTCTGAAACTATAGGATAAACATGGCCTTGGCTCCCGGAACGTCCATTTTGCCCGATGACGTGATGAGACGAATTTTTGGCGTCTCAAAGCGCTCTGCGAATCCCGGCATCGCAGGACTCTCTGGCCTGTCCCCTGCGGGCTCGCCGGGAAAAGCCCGCACTCTCCTCCCCTGCTGCGCGGGGTGCTCCCCGCCGAGTCCGCCTGGGAAGCCCGACGGCACTGAGACCATGTGGCTCAGTCTCAAGGGTGATTTTATTCTCCTGAGATCAACAATTCTCGTTTGAGGTTTTGTAGTTTCACTTGCCCACTTGTGGTACTTGTTTCTCCTTTCATTAAAGCCCTGCAGTGGCTCCCTGGTGGCTTTGGGATAGAGTCCAAACTCCTCAGCACTACGGACAAAAGTCCTTTCTGACCTGGCTCCTTCCGCCCCGTCTGGCCCCAGCCTCCTCCTCCTCCTCCCTCTGTGCACTTCCACCCTCTCGCATCCTCCCTGCCGTCCAGCCCGCGCCCAGCGCCTTTCAGTTCCTCAAACAGACCCTTCGGCCACTCGAACGGAACAGTGGCAGCACGCCGCGTCCCCGCGCAGTGAGGACCTCGTCCTTTCACCTGGACACCTCTGCTTTGTCCTCAGCTCAGCTCAGACATCACTTCCCTTCCAGAAAGCCTCCCTTGACCTCTCATATCTAGATACGTGCTGGGTCATCGTGTCCCGCGGTACCTTGCACTTTCCTGTGTCATCGTACTCAGCACATTGTGTTGTCACTTCCTGTTTACTTAGCGGTAGCCCTCCCCGGGCTGCCGTCTCCCTTGAGAGCTGAGGCTGTGTCTTGTTACCCTCAGGGCCCGACACGTGGTAGGGGCTCCAGAAAGAAGGTTGAAATGCGTGGTAGGTTCCAAAGCTTAGAGAACATTTGGGATTAGCGTGAGGACTTAGGAGGGGTAAGCAACTCAGGAGCATTATGGTCCAGGAGGAGAAAGAGAGAAGGACCGAGTCGGTCGGACTCCCCCAAGGAATTGCTAGTGAAGGGGCCAGAGAACTAAGCCCTACAAGGAGTAGCCTGGCTCGGAAGATGTTGCTCGGAAGAAGTCTGGGGAGAGCCGTTCGTACAGGCTTTTAAGATGTCTTAGAAGTTGGTAGCATCCCTGTGTTTATTATGCTGTTAACTTCTCTTGCTTTCCCTGGAGTAGTTATTGGCAAAATCGCAGGGAAAACCTTTAGAATCTGTGTCTACAGAAGGTGCAGGGGAAGGAAGGAAAAGCGTGAAAACCGTCCCTCATTTCATGGCCGCCCGTGCCGGAAAGCAATCCGGATGCAGGAGTCAGCGCGGGGCTGGAGGAGAACAGGGGCCCAGTCCTTGGAGTTCTTCTGAGCCAAAGATAGGGAAGTGCCTTGAGGCGTGTACTAGCACAAAACAAGTCTGTGCCAATGGCAAAACCTGCGCCCCCTCTGGGTGAATAAATTATAAAAAAAATTGGCCCCACCAGTTGGAACAAGCATTCTTCTTCCTCTCGGTTGAAAGATTCCTCTTCTTCTGGGCTGATGTAGCATCTTGCCAGAGCTGAGAGCAAATGGTGCTTGGGCTGGCTATCAGCCCTCAGTTGATGCCCCTGTGCAGAGTATAACCTGCAGCCATTGGGGGTGGCTCACAAAGCCATCCTAAGAGAGTGTGGCTCACTGATGCCCGAGGGGGCGGGTGTCAGGGACACCACTTCTTGTCATGTGTGTTCCCAGCATCGGTCATCAGCGTGGACTCTTTCTGTAGTACATACGACCTGTGCTGTCCGATACGGAAGCCACAACTCCCCTGTGACTACTTAGATACGACTTTAAATTAATTAAAATTAAGTCGAATTAAAACTTCAGTTGCTCAGTCTTACTGGTCACTTTCACACGTGGCCAGTGGCTCCTGCCTTGGACAGCACAGATAGAAAACATTTCTGTAATCCCAGAAAATTTCCTCGGACAGTGCTGGTACAGATTCTATATTCTTCTGCCCTCAGCACTCCGCAGCTTATTCTTTTAACAGATTATTCTGTTAAATGGGCATAGTAATATTAGTGCTACCTCGTAAGGTTGGGGTAAGGGCTGTTATTGGGTGAGAAGTATTTGGAGCTGTGCCCAACTGCTACCACATACAGAGTAAGTGATGAGTGCGTGAGAGCTGTATATTTTTTTTATTACTATTATTCATCCCCACTCCCTTGTAGATGTAGCCGGTACGCATCGGTGGCTTCTTCCCCCACTTCGAAGAATTAGCAGCTAGTCCTTACCTCCTCTACCCCTGCCCTCCCCTAGAGAGATCCTTTCCAATCAAAACCACAAAAGAAAGGCAGATGCTTGGGTCGTTCATTATCAAGCACTTGGAATTGGTTTAGGTACCAGTTATTTAACCAATCGTTAAATCATGTCAAACGAACTGCCAGAGACTGTTTCCCTACTCCCCAGTTAGAAACTGGAATCACTTTGAAGCCCCAGGGCAATGACTTGTGGTTCTGCAGGGCTAGTCTGGCATTGAAAGGAAAGCTTGGGGGAGGTGGCAGGGCAAGGCTGGGGGGCTTAACAGCTACAGACTAGGGGCGCCTGGGGGGCTCAGTCAGTTAAGCGTCTGTCTTCAGCTCAGGTCATGATCCTCGGGTCCTGGGATCAAGCCCCATGTCAGGCTCCCAGCTCAGCGGGGGGTCTGCTTCTCCCTCTCCCTCCTCTCTCCCCAGCTTGTATTCTCTCTCTCTCAAATAAATAAATAAATTCTTTAAAAAAAAAGTAGCCACAGACTAGCTCTGCCAATGAATTTTAGGGCATTTCTTACCACATTAATCATCTTCAGAGTTGGGGAAATTGTCTTTAAATCTGTCCATTTCCTCCTTATGTCTATAGTGTGATTCTGTGGAGGATTTCAGTGTCTGAATCTTCACAGGAAGCACCTGAATGCCTTCTGGCTCAGGTTCTTATCTAGTATTTTGCAAGAAGTCCCCAAAAGTTGTCTGTTCAAAACCCAGTATTTCCCCTTTTGTTATTTTGTCCAAATTACAACAACAAAATTTTTTGAAAAATTTCTTATCTGGGGTCCATGAGAGTATGTGAAACACCCAAGGTACAGAAGTGACAAAGGAATCTTAAAGATTGCCCATTAGAGAAGTTCCTTTCACTGGTTGAAAAAAATTAATTTTCTGCCTAGTTTTTTTTTTTTAAGTTATGTAACAAAAGTGTCATAAATTTCTTCAGTTTCTGTTTCTGGGTGTGGGTGAAAAACATTCCAGGCCTGTCTGATCTAAAAACTAACCATGGCACTAACTTAGAAACTACAGTTTCTAAGACTGAACCACAGGGGCCTACAACTAGGAGAAAAACTTTATGTACCATCTCTTAAGGGACAAGAGCATCTTCTGTATTTTCTTTAAAGATTTTATTTATTTGAGAGCGAGAAGGCACAAGCAGAGGGAGCGACAGAGGGAGAGGGAGAAGCAGGTTCCCTGCAGGGCTCGATCCCAGGATCCTGGGATCATGACCTGAGCTGAAGGCAGACGCTTCACCGAAGGCAGACGCTTCACCGACTGAGCCACCCAGGCGCCCTGCATTTTCTGTATTTAAATACTTCTTTGCATAGCCTTTGAAGGAGTAAATACATTAGATCTGAGTTTTGGGGTTTGTTTTTAAAGACTTTATTTTTGTAGAGAAGTTTTAGATTTACAACAAAACTGAGGGGAAGGTACAGAGATTTCCCATGTACCCTCTGCCCCCACCATTCATGGCCTCCCCCATTATCTGCATCCCCCCCCCTCCCCAGGGTGGTACATTTGACACAACTGATGAACCTACGTTGATACATCCTAACCACTCACAGTCCATACTTTACCTTCAGGCTCCCTCTTGGTGTCGTCTGTACTATGGGTTTGGACAAATGTATAATGACACGTGTCTGTCATCATAGCCTCGTACAGAGTATTTTCATTGCCCTCAAACTCCTCTGTCCTCTCCCTGTTCATCTTTCCCTCCGCAGCCCCTACAGCACTGATCCTTCATTGTCTCCACAGTGCTGCCTTTTCCAGAGGGTCCTGTGGTTCGGGATCCTACAGCATGCAGCCTTTTCAGATTGATTGGCTTCTTTCACTTCATAATGCGCGTTTACATTTCCTCCGTGTCTTTTCCTGGCTTGATACCTCTTTTTTACCATGCTGAATAATATTCCGTTGTCTGGGTGCACTGCAGTTTAAATATCCACCTGCTGAAGGATGTCTTCGTCGCTTCTGAGTCTTGGCCGTTATGAATAAAGCTGCTGTAAACGTCTGTGTGCAGTGTTTCGCATGGACATAAGTTTTTGACTCCTTTAGGTAAATACCGGGGAATGTGATGGCTGATCATATGGTAAGAGTATGTGGCGTTTTGTAAGAAACTACCAAACTCTGCCCCCAGAGTGGCTGCAGTATCTTGCATTCCCGCCAGCAGCGAGAGAGCATGCTTGTCGCTCCGTGCCCCCCCCCCCGCCCCCGGCATTTGCTGATGGCACTGCTCTGGGTCATGGCCATTCTAATAGGTGTGTGTAGTGGCATCTTGTTGTTGTAATTTGCATTTCCCTGATGACATATGGTGCGGAACATCTTTTCAGACGCTTCTTTGCCATCTATAGTTCTTCTTTGGTGAGGTGCCTGTTTTCTTATTGTTTTAAGAATTCTGTGTATATTTGGGGTAGCAGTCCTTTATCAGATGTGTCTTGCAAATATTTTCTCTGAGTCTGTGGCTTGTTTTCTTATCCTCTTACTATTGATTTTTGCAGGGCCGAAGTTTTTAATTTTAACGAAGCCCAGCTGACTGATTATTTCTTTTCTAGATCCTGTCTTCGGTCTTGTATCTAAAAAGTCGTCACCACACTGCAGCTCATCTAGCTTTTTCCCTATGTCATCTCCTAAGAGTTTTATGGTTTTGCACTTTACATTTAGGTTTGTGATCCATTGTGAGTCTAGTTTTGTGAGTGGCGTAAGGACTGTGTCTAGATTCATTGTTTTGCATATGGACATCTGTCTAGTTGTTCCAGCACCATTTGTTGAAGAGACTGTCTTTGCCCCCTTGTCAAAGATCAGTTGACTGTATTTATGAGAGTATCTGATGTGCAAAAGAATCCCCTGGAGAATCGCTGTCAAAATGCTGATGCCTCGGCCCTGGGCAGAACCTGTAAGTAGGATTCCCGGGAGAGGGCTTGAGGGATCTGCACTTTATACAGCTACAGATGACTCGGAGGTAATAAGTCAAGGGTTTGGGACTCGTCACTGTTAGGTCATTCTTAAAATTGCCTTCCTTTTCTGTAGAGCCTTTGCACAGCTCCCATTATGGCTGAGGTAGGGCTTGACTCTGGCTTCTGCCAGCTACTATAAGACAGAACCCTCTGACACCCTAGACAGAGAAGCGTCACGAGCACCTTCTGTGGGCTCGCACCGCACTGGGTGCTAATGCTCACTGGGGAAAGGTGTGTGTAGAGGTTCGGGATGGGAAATAAGGTGCCAGCATTGCTGCTTATTGAAGGCATTTAAAGCCACACCTGGAGTAAGACACGTAGAAAACCATTGTGTTCTGGAACGTTGATCTGGCAGGGGTCAGAGGGCACTAATAATGAAGGTCAGAGAGGTCCTTCTGGAAAGGACATGAAGCCCGAAGTGATGAGGGCATGAAACAGGGTGAGGGTTCCAGGAATGTCGCAGGAGAGAATCCAAGAAGCTTTGCAAAGGAAGAAGTAACAGAATTTGGTGACAGAATATGGCGAAAGGGGAGGGAGGAAAGGGTGATTTCAAAGGCTGTAATCAAGGAGTCCAGAGAAAACGAGCTCTGGCTGATGGGAATGGGGAAGGTCAGAAGACAGGCAGTTTGGCAGGGAAGAGAGGGCATAAGGGCGTTGACTTTGAGGCCAGAGTGGAGGACTCAAATGGAGCAGTTAGAAATCTGGGACTAGCTCCAAGGAATCCCCAGTGTAGAAATTCTAGTCAAGGGACAGACATGATAAACTGGGGGAGAATGGATGAGAGAGTAAGCGGTAGAAAGGAATGTGCAGAGGGCGGAGGACTGAATGTGAATCCTCTGAAAAGGGGAAAGGGAGGAGAAGCCATGACAACAAGGCAGGCAGGCAGAAGGGCCAGAGGAGAACCATGGAATTCAGCAGATGAGGCATTTTCAAGAAGCCTGAAACTTCTCATGCTGGCCTCATAACATCTCTCATACAGAAGATGAAAAGGAGTCAGAGCTCCTACAGTTTCCATAGCTGTTGAAAGCACCAGTGTTGGGGCGCCTGGGTGGCTCATTCGGTGAAGCGTCTGCCTTCGGCTCAGGTCATGATCCCCAGGGTCCTGGGATCGAGCCCCCATCGGGCTCTCGGCTCAGCAGGGAGCCTGCTTCTCCCTCTCCCTCTGCCTGCCACTCCCCCTGCTTGTGTGCTCTCTGTCTCTTCCTCTGACAAATAAATAAAATCTTTAAAAAAAAAGAAAGAAAGAAAATACAAGTGTTTGGGGCGCCTGGCTGGGCGACTCTTGATCTCAGGGTCGTGAGTTCGAGCCCCACATTGGGTATAGAGCTTACTTAAAAAAAAAAGAAAAGAAGAAAGTACCAGTGTTCATCAAAAAGGAACATTCGTTTCTTCCCAGAGTATGAAATGGAGCCACATTATAAAATAGGGTTTTAAGAAAAGTTTTCTTTCCATATTGCAAATTTTCCCTTTCATGGTCCTCTTCAGCCATTTAAAAGAAAACAAACGTCTGCCTTTGTTTCCTAAACACCTTGTGAAAAATAATCCAGAAGGTTGTCTCATTATATCTTGCAGGCACAGCAGCCTGGGAAAAATTCTTCAATGTGAAGACATCTATAGGGAAGGTCAACACATTGGTTGTTCCTTTGCTCTGACTAATTTGAAGGATTCCAGTTTTGAACAACACAGTGTCCAAATAGTGGTCAAGGATAATGCAGGAAAAATTAGACCATCCTTCAATATAGTGCCTTTAACTTCTCATGGTAAGTTTTAGAAATGCTGTACAACAGTGTGGATAAAAGTGTTACGTCTTTTGAACAGTCAATACAGAGAATAAAAAAGGGATGACTTTGGTTTTAAGATTTTCCCAGAAAAAAAAAAAAAGGACTGTATTTATACCTTTATTTGATTTTTTTTAAAGCAGCAGGCTTGGAAATTCTAATATTTCTTGAGTATATGTGCCACATGCTTTGCTCTTGTTTGCTTCTGAGTGTGCCAAGACTTCGAACACGCAGTCAGTTGTAGAACCGAGACTGGAACCAGGCTCTCTGACTCTTAAGATCTGTTCTCTTTTGCTGATGATGCTCGAGAGGATGATGCTGCAGAATAAAATCAAATATGGTTCCTGAATAATCTTTCTCTTAGTTGAAAAAAGGCTTCGACTGGAGGAGGAGCGATCGGAAATGATTTAAACTAGCTAACGTGCAGGGTGGCGTAGGCCCCGACCACTCAGAACAGCCAACGCAGCTGAATGTTGGCCTATTAGAAAGAGGCCTTGACTTGAAAACACAGTATCTGCTTGAGCTCCTAGGTCTTCACTTTGGACAAAGCATATAAACTCTCTTTAAGTGTTTCCTCATCTGTAAAACAGGGTCCGAAGTCCTTCTTGACCTCAAAGGATTGTCTGAAGTTTCAAATGATGTGAGGTATATAAGTATTTTGTAAATCTCTAAAGCAGACTACTACTATAAGCATCGTGTTTATTTATTTGTTGTAAGATTCCAACAGGGAGCGCAGATTCTGGTTAAGTGGTATACAGAAAATTTACAGGCACATAGCCATGAATTGACAAAGGTTCCCAAGTCTGGGAGCAGAACACTATTTACCACCCCTTCAGATAGTCACGCAAGTGAATTCTAATTGTGGACCGAAGGCCAGGGGAGTGAGGTCGTGGTAACTTGCCCAAGTGGGATAATCTGAAGCAAAGCCCTTTGCTGTCCTCCCCCTTGCTTGGCGGATTGTCCTCGGTGAACCTTTTATTTTATTTTATTTTGTTTATTTATTTTAAAGATTTTATTTATTTATTTGACACACAGAGACACAGCGAGAGAGGGAACACCAGTGGGGAGTGGGAGAGGGAGAAGCAGGCTTCCCGCCCAGCAGGGAGCCTGACGACGTGGGGCTCGATCCCAGGACCCTGGGATCATGACCTGAGCTGAAGGCAGATGCCTAACGACTGAGCCACCCAGGCGCCCCCTCGGTGGACCTTTTAAAGCTCATTTTCCTCTTCTTCCTGGAGATTAGTGGTGACATAAAGGGAGATCCTTCTCAGCTGGAAGATGATATCTTCGAGTTGTGTTCTGCTCATCTTCCATTCTCTTCTGTCACTTAGTCTTTAGTTGACTCCTGAAAAACTAAATTGACTAGGCTAATTTTTTTTTACTTTAATTGTGGTTATAATCACATAACATTAGATTTCCCATCGTAACCGTTTCTAAGCATACAGTTCAGTAATGTTAAGTATATTTACATTGTTGTGCAACAGATCTCCAGAACTTTCTCACCTTTTGAAACTGAAACTCTATGCCCCCTAAACACTAATTTCCCCTCCCGTAGCCCTTGATAACCAGCTTTCTCTTTTCTGTTTCTATGGTTCTATTTTAGATCCCTCATATGGGTGGAATCCTACGGTGTTTGTCCTTTTATGATGGGCTTATTTCACTTAGTCTAATGTCCTTGAGGTTTGTCCATGTTGCAGTATGTGACAGAGACTAGGCTAATGTTTTATAATTTTTTTTTTAAAGATTTTTATTTATTTATTTGAGACAGAGAGAATGAGAGAGACAGAGAGCACATGAGAGGGGGGAGGGTCAGAGGGAGAAGCAGACTCTCTGCCGAGCAAGGAGCCCGATGCGGGACTCGATCCCGGGACTCCAGGATCATGACCTGAGCCGAAGGCAGTCGCTTAACCAACTGAGCCACACAGGCGCCCTAGGCTAATGTTTTAATTGTGGTCTTTGATTGACGCAAGTGAGTGGCAGCTGAGGAAACCCCTGGTGCCCCTCATTATCCATTAGGTGGATGCACATCTGGACCCAAGTGCTTCTTTTCTTTATTCTCTGTGTCACAGCTGGATATCCTGATTATACCCCAGCCGTGTTCTAACCGGATCGATGCAGGTCAGAGTTCACGTCATCTGCCAGACACCCCAGAGATGTTCTTTGGATCCATTTTATGAGCAGTTTAAAATAAGCTTTCTACATTAATCGTGACCTTCATTATGTCTACCCATATATGAACCTCATCACAAATACTCTGGAAGCTAATTTGTGTTCTCCTGTTTCTGTCTTTCAGTGAAACCTGATCCCCCACATATTAAACGTCTCTTCTTCCAAAATGGTAACTTGTATGTGCAATGGAAGAATCCACAGAATTTTTACAGCAGATGTTTATCTTATCAAGTAGAAGTCAATAACAGCCAAACTGAGACGAATGATATTTTCTACGTAAGTTTTTCCTAGCTAGTTGATTTTATTTGGATATTTTTCTTTCACTTGAATTTCTTGTAGGGTAAGAAATGGAAACATCAGTGAAATGTAGCTCTTAGATTTGTCACCTGATGATGATGATGATGATGGTGATGATGAAATTTCTTGTCTGAAATAGGGCATGGTGGAAGGTTTGATGGTTTATGGTAGGAGCATTAGCTGTAAGATTCAAGCCATTCATCAATTCATTTGCTGAACACATTTTTATTATATATCTGCCACGTGCCAGGCACTGTTTTATGTGCACATGACCCTGACGAAAAGGTCTCTTTTTTCCGTGAAGCCTACCTACTAGGAAGTACGTATGTAAATGAGCAAGCTAATCTCAGAGCATGAATGCTATGAAGAAAATCAGATGGGTCATGTAGTAGCATGATGGGAGGGCCTGCGGGAATATGAGGTTGGGTCGTCATCCGAAGTGACGACATTTGAGATAAGACCAGAGTGACAAGCAGGGGCTAGCCATGTGAAGATCTGGGGGTGGAAGGGACAGCAAGTACAAAGACTCTGAGGCAAGAATGAGCTTGGCATGTGTGGGAGACAGAAAGGAGACTGGTGTGGCCAAAATAGAGTAGGGAAAGACATGTAAGCAGGAGGCCAGGGTCCGATGCGGTAGATACTTCGAGGCTCTGGTGGTGGCCATTCCATGGTCTTGGAGTTCGTGGCAACTAGAGTCATCAAATGTGAGTAGCCCGTAGTTGTTGGATTCGGTACATTTACGCCATTGGGAATCTAGTACAAAACATACTAACGAGAGGTCCTTGTGGACCACTGGGCATAACAGGATGTGGTGTAACCTCAGAGCATCGGTCCCATTGTTCTGCTTTACGGTAGAGGTCACACACTCGGGCCTTCAACGCTTTTGTCTGAGCTACAAACCAAGTGGGGTTTTGCTTAAATTCAAAAATTTTTGCCCAGATTTAAATACCGTGGTCCCCAGGGAGTGTAGTTTCCATAAGGTGGCACCTCAAGACCACAGGGACTGTGCTGGTCACTGGCGTGCCAGCCACCCCAGGCCCCGGGGTGCATTGGAGTTGGAGAAGTTCGAGACCAAGGGTTTTATATTGGCTTTTAAAGGAGCCCCACATCTTGCACAGGGACAAATTCCTTGGTCCAGTTGTTTTAGCTCGCCGTGGGAGTTTCAAAATACTTACTAAAACAAGCCAGCGTTGACGGGCTGTAACCCCAGAGGGAGTGCCCAGGTCCACAGCTGACCAGAGCGTTTCTGGGCAATCGCAGGTGAATCTGTTTGCTGAAATAGAATAATCACTCTCCATGCCAGAAACCGGTGTCCCCATATGGTACTGCAAAGGGAAAAAGCAGAGGGCTTCCAAGTGGGGAGAAGGTGAGGCTTGGATTTACAACGAAGTCAGCTGTCAGAACGACTACTCCGGCCTTTACTGTTCTCCTCTGTCTGAAATCCTGAGACACATGCTGCTTGTATTACTCACTTGGCACCGAATTACGTCCTGCTGGTTCCCCTGATCACATGGGTAGGCCTTGTGTCCCAACTAAAAATAAAAGCTCCCGTAGGCAGGAGTTAGGTGGTGTTTACTTTGTGCGGCTCCTGCTAATAGTGGCTGACGTGGATGGAGCGATTACTATGGAGTAGGCGTTTTCATAAGCACCTTATCTCAGCTGTCTCGTGTAGTCCTCACGGTAACCCTGAGGATCCGGGGCCTTGCTTTTGTCCCCGTTTCACAGATGAGAAAAAGGCAATCTCAGAGGTTTACTCCTAAGGTAAGTGGTAGAATCAAGATTTCAGCAGGTCTGACTCTAAAGCTTGTGTCCCTAACCCCGGGGGCCACCTCAGTACTTCCTTTTAACTGTCCTGGCAGTCACTTGTTAAGTGTTTATGATGGGCTGCACAGATCCTCTTCCCGGCACTTCTACAGTAGCCTCTAACAGTCCATGAAATGCTTCTATCTTAACCTGTATTTTATTGAGAAACTAAGGCTCAGAGAGGTAAAGTCACTTGCTGCAGGCCACACAGCTGATAATTTGGTCTTTATGTATTCAAAGGTTGGTCTTCACGTATTAAACTTTGATCAAGAGCGTTTGGTCTAACACCATGTGCATAGTCCTCACTTAAGAAACTCTTGTTGAGGGGCACCTGGGTGGCTCAGTTGGTTAAGCGATCGCCTTCGGCTCAGGTCATGATCCTGGAGTCCCAGGATCGAGTCCCACATCAGGCTCCCTGCTCAGCGGGGAGTCTGCTTCTCCCTCTGAT